TTAAATGACCAGATCAATATCCCATAAGTTTAACTGACTTGATTCTACACTCTGATTAAAGTGTTCCTTAAACAGTCACTGTAAAATTGGTAGATTTTCCTATGGCCAAACTTTCACATACTGAGTACAGTGCATGTATGAATAATCTCTAAGAGATAAAACGATCGGCCTTTGGACTGCTGTAAATATTTAGTTTTTCTGCTTATGAAAGATCAGATATCCTTGTCTACCTTCTGTGCAAGGGTCAGCCAATCAGAAGAAAGCTAGCTCAAAGGGGATGAAAGCTAAAACTGATTGAAATGATGGGGGATCTGCTAGCATAAAATAAATAATCAATATTTTGAACTGTAACCTATTCAAGTAAAATAATTATTTTATGTGTTTGTGCTTTTTAAAAAGTACTTATTTCATTTATTATTTATTGCCAAGTGTCTGATGTTACCTGAACCTGTCGATGTCCTGCGTGGACACCAGATTTCTGATGAGAAGGAAGCCATTTTCCTCATAGAAGAGCCGCTGTTCCGGGGTCAGCAGGTCATTATCCAAAGTATACCTGCCAAATTGAAAAATAAAAATAAAAAAGCTTGCCTTGCCTTTTGAGCCAATGGCACTGTAGTTACCACTTGCTATTACACATGGAGAGCAGAAAAGTGGGACACTGTGGACCTGATCAATAGAAGAAACTGTGGGAAAGATGAACGATAAACACGAATGATTGCTGAGTGCATAAAAACCTTTAGCCCGAGGCAGAGCTTAGGTGTGTCCTTACCTCAGTCTCTGTGGGTGACCATAGCTGACGGTTTGAGCAGACGTGGGTGCAGCTCTCTTCAGCAAATCAGTCAAGGATAACAAAAAAAACAAACAAACAAACAAAAACCCAAACAAACCAAAACCACGGGGAAAATGTCTGCTATCCAGCAGCGAGAGATTATCATTTATAGATTTCAGATCATTTCCAAGATTTTACAGTGAAACATTCTGCCTCTCTGCCAAAATATGTGAAAATGTCTTTTATGTGAAAATCTGCATTGCTGCTGCATATTAAAACCAGGGAAACCGACAACACTTTTTAAAAAAACAAATCACATGTATAAATGTGTAACTAGCTTATCTTTAAGTTGACCTATCTACAGATAGACCTAACCGATTACACCTGTTATTTAACAGGTTGATATAGAAAATAATCCAATAACAGTAGTTTCCGAGCCCTAAGTAACAGTTATGAATGTCTCCAGCTAGCTAGCATTAAAAACGTTTATTGCAAATGATATACAGTCCAAACAAACACACTTGTAGAGAAACAACGGCGAACACGAAAATAACTAGCGGTGTTAAGAATAGTTACAGGCATTCAGCTCCTGTCCTGTCCTTGTGTCAGTATTTTCCGGGAGGCCTGCAGTCCACCGCGGGTTCCCAGTAGCGGAGTATCAGTGTTATCGGGCGCTCACTGCTTCGCTATAGGCTAAGAGCCTCCAACGAGCCGATTTATCGCAAATACGATTTAAAAAAGATACAATCCCCGCAGAATGTCTGTCAAGATGGTTGATAATGACTCGGAGTCTCGCCGAAGGACGAGACATTTTCTGTCAAGTAGCAGTGCTTCGTGTCCTCTGTAAAAGTAGTGGAGAAGGGGGTTGTTGTACTTTACGTACCTCCGCTGACTGGGGCAAAGGCTAGCATGATGACACGCTCTGTGAATGTGCTGTTATGCAAAACACCTACAGTCATTTATGGACCCGTTAAAACACAGCCCAGTTATTATCACAACGCCGTAACAAGTTTAATAGAATCAAAAAATACTTCAATGATTTGTAAGGGAAATTATATTTCCCCTCCTGTGACTAGATGAACGGATCCTTTAAAAATAGCAGGAATATCGCAAAAAATGCTAATGGTGTAAACGGGTACAGAAAAATGAAAACTCTATTGTAGAGTTCAAGCATTTTTATTTCTTTAGCAAACCTTTTCAGCTGTTAGTGAACGTTATTTATTGCAAACAACGGGATTTCATAAGGATTATTTCCAGCATCACTAGTAATGAAAGTTTTATCCAGCAGGGAGCGCCACACAACAATAATTATTCCCATCATCTTTATAATTTATGCTAATTTCGAAGCTGTTGAAACCCTGAGCGCTATTTAACCATTCCATCATTTTTGACATCTTCAACAAACACAGACTATTTTGTAATAGAAGTTGAATCGATGAAATAATCGATCTACTCGTTTAAAGACTGAAATGGACAGTGTCGCATTGTTATAGTGATGAGTTACAAATGAAAAGGAACGGTATGCTAACAAAGCCTCCAGCTGTTTCTTATTTTATCCATTTCCCAACTTTGACAAACTATACTGTACTTAACTTCTAGTTTAGCTAACAAACAAAAAGGCACACAAAATAGCACTTAGAATGTATAATATGCAGTATGTATGTATGTATAGTTGTTGGTGTATGCGTCTATCTAGACGTTTTTCTTTACGTTTTTCAAGTCTATGATGTGGAAGTTGTCTGTACAAAAAAACCCAGCTTTTAGTTTGCACACTGACCAGATAGACGTCACAGTGGCTTTTATTTTGGAAATTGCAATAGAACAGACCTTTGTTTTGAAATGTCAGCGGAAGTGCCATTATCGTAATCTACCTTACATGCTCGCACCCCTCCCGTCTCCGCACTCGACATCCTCCAGCCTCTTTAAACTGTCTCCGCTGCCGAAACAGACGACTTTTTCGGGTTTCGGTCTGTGTCTGTTCGCCCGCACACTCGCACACCTTTCTGCTTGTTTCGGAGGATATTTCTTTCTCTGGCGGAGCGTGTGGAGCACAAACCGAGCACAGACGGAGCTGTGTTTCAGGCTACTTCAGTGGGCGGGTAAAGCGGAGGAGGGCATCCGGGCCTGGCAGCTCCGGAGGGTCGGCTTGAAAACGACGCAATTCACCATTTTCAGGTAAATTCGTTGATGGGTCACTTTCAGGTAACGCTTAATGAACAAGCAGGAGGCTAGGCTTCGCCCGGCGACAAAAGACGAAGTCTGAATGGTGGCCATTGGAAATGGCAAAACAGAGGAAACGGCAGCTGGAGAATAATACAGCCAGACTCTTACTGTAATTCATATATTACTGTTTACCCAGCGCCTTTATCCAGCGCGGTTATACGTGTTGTTTTTGCGCCTCAAACACTGTCCAAGCGTAAAATATCTTATTTCACGGTATGTTTGTTTACATAACGTAGCTCAGGCATCGGCAGCCAGAATGTCACCAGCGATAGAAAGCGAACTGTAGATTAAAGGCTGAAATAATGCATCCTCGAAATCGCCCTAAATCCCAATGAAAGCAGTATGGATCATTGCAGGTATAATGCAAGACCTGTTCACAACATATTCATGTCACCCCAAACCTGCTCACAATACACTGTAGCTATACAATGAGACTTCCCTTTGAAGGAGCAGAGGTGCATTTACCATCAACCGGCCTTTGACTTCATATAAGTGTGAAAGAAATGGCTTTACTTCAGCTTGTGCCACGTTTTTGCTGATGTGAAAGCACTGTGCAGCAAAGTTGGAATACAAACATTATGAAACTGAGTTAAATCCCTTAAAATAACCTCCAAAGAACTCCTGACTTTTACCAAACTGTGGTTGTTCCTGTCAAGTTATTTGAATACGGTTGAGACACGTTGCTGAAAGTGGAAGATAAGAGACATGCCTTTGAAAATAAGTATTATGGACTGATTGTGTTTAAGCAGACACAAGCTCAAGGGTATTTTAATCTAATGCACCAGGAACACACTGCCCTGCTGTTACCCTGAAAACAGTGACCTGATCTTAGGTACACTATTGTCCTTTTTTCTCTCCCAAATCGAATACAAAAGCGTAAAAAACAAGCAATTGCACAACTAGAAATCCAGCATAAATCATTTCAGTTATTATCACCATTTAATAACATTAGAGCTCTGCCTATATGAAAGTTTAAAATTTCTGATTATGAAATTAGAAAGAAAGTTTGCATTGTTGGAAGGGAAATAGCTCTGCAGTATTGAGCGCTTCTCACCCATCTTTGCCGGGAAATGCCTGTGATGCTTTTAGGCTCTTTTCTATTTCCCGTTTGACCTGCATTCAATTCCAGTGTCCTTCATCTGGAACAACTAGCTGTTCAATTATGTGTATTTGCGAATCTGCATGTGTGCGTTTTGACCCACATTCAGATCTGGGCTGCTGGCTGTGGGAACGATACACCCTGAGAGAACGACATTAATTACCCCGACAGCTCCCGCTCCATGCCCGTAGGCCCGTATAGCAGTGCACATATCGATCAGTCTCTGCATTGTGCCACGATTGTGGGAGGTGTGTGTGCGTATGTGTGTGCACACCCACTCTATGTTTCTCTCTTTTGCTCCTGGGTATGACACATGAGGATGTATATTATAATGATCTGTCTTCTAGAAGAATGTGGGATGTGTCAGTGGTTTCGGTCTGAGAAATCAAAGTGTCTTGTGAAGGACTCACAGCAGGTGTCAGCGATTAGTTTGGAACTTCCTGTCTGAGCGAGTAAGTGACAAATTGGATCAGAGTACTAACTTTGGTGTAGAAGCAAGTATGAGGTTGTTTTTGTTTTGTTTTTTTCTTTTACCATTCAGGGTGACACTGGGCTGTGATTTAAATTTTTCTGTGTCATATTAAAATCAGACAATGTGACTTTGCAGGTTGTTTCCCACATCTCAGAAAAAATGCTAATGAGATCATCGGGGGATATCCAGTCTTAGCTTAGACAAAAAACTGAAAGGACAGAAAAAGACATGTTTGTGTCATTGAAAACATTACCTTAGTATGGGGTGAACAGCTGTCTCCTTGGTGAACAGCTGTACAGCTATCTGTATCTGCTATCTGCAATTTTAACTTGAATCAGTTAGTTTTTGCCTGCATCACTGCCTTAAGGTGGCTTATGTTATGGAGCTCTATATTTTTATTCTACCAGGGTAGCTTTGAGTGATTTACAGGTCAGGACGGTCCTTACTTTTCTTATACTGTGCCTTGATGCAGCACTTAGGATACATCCTTTCTGAACCAAAACATTTTTTTTTAATTCTCCATTGCGTTAAGCCAGCTTGTTTTCTGATTGGCTGCCACATTTAAACAGAAGGTTTGAACAGTAGGTGAGTGGGGCTTCTGTCCTTACGGCTAGATGTGACCATATTAGGGACCTGCTGACCATTAACATAGAGCAGGGGTCCCCAATCCCAGTCCATGAGGGCCGGTGTCTCTGCAGGTTTTAGATCTCACCCTGGGTCAACACACCTGAATCACATGATTAGTTCATTACCAGTCCTCTGGAGAACTTCAAAACACGTTGAGAATTTATCCATTTAAATCAGCTGTGATGGATCAAGTACACATTTAAACCTGCAGGGACACCGGCCCTCGTGGACTGGGATTGGGGACCCCTGACATAGAGTTAAAAATCTGAATGTCTGAAACACAGCAGTGGGAGCAGTCTGTAGCCGTACAGGGATAAATTATACATACACTGACCTTAATATTTTAGATTTCTGAAATCTGTAATCTGAGCAGGAACTGCTGTAAGAGTATAAACATAACAGGAAATAAGGAAAAGCTCAGTAGATCCACTGTAACTGCCACAAAGTATTTGGGAAAATATGTTATATTCCATCACATTTTAACTTAGCTGCTGCAGTGATGTAGATCATAATGGCAAGAAAATCATCAGAAAAGTGTTTTGTTTGTTTGTTTTTTTCTTCTTTTTACTCGTTAGTTTTTCACAAAACACCTAAATGTTTTGTAGGAAGAAGTGAATTAGCGAATGGTGGCTTATAATAATGGTGGCAATATCCCAACATGCTTTGTAGCCAAGCAGACTGCACTTCCAAAACACTGTTGCTATTGACAACCAGTCGAATAGCTTTCTCTCTCCCTCGTCAAAGGAGCTCGTAAAGAAAAGCGTCTGGACTTCTTTAAGTTGCTTGAAGACGTTTCAC